TGAGATGTGATTTGTTATATTTTTCATTGATGTCATCAATCGGTGTCAAATCGACACTGTAAAAACGAATTGGAGAGAAATCAATTTTATGCAATATACATATTTTTCCAAACAAGCATGTTGTAAAATGTAATATCCAACAGTGATGAATCCTAAAATAAATTAGTTTGTGTGCTTTTTTTTGGGGTAACAAATCTTAATTAATAGTGTTTATCTGAATGTGTCAGTTTAGATTGTTCCATTTGTCTCCCTCAGTGTCCTGTCAGACAAAAGCAAGGCCTGCATTATGGGTCAATATATACTAATGTAGTAAAATATCTATTGCCTTTAGAGTTTTGAATTTATCTTAAGAATGGAGACAAGCTTAATTCTAAAGTTCACATCATAGCAAACATATTTTCCGGTCCAGCTGTTTGGGAAATATTTAGATACAATCTTAATAGATTTAAACCATTGCAGGAGCCCTATATGCACCAAGTAGTTTAGCAGTTATTCTAATAATGTAATTAATAAGTAGTTTATAATAAAATGGTTTAAATAACTTAAGAAGCCTCACTTACAAGTTTCTTTGATTCCTTTTTTGAATTTGCATCAAGGTAGATGGCAATTCTTCCTTCTCAAAATCGTTTTTTTTTTACTTCAATCCTTACAGCTTGGTTTGCCAGTGCAAAGGATAAAACGGTGCAAAAACAGAGCCTTGAAAAGGCCCCCAGTGTTATAGCCTGAGAAGGGCTTACAGATGTCCTCATCCATTATGTTTATTTTTTTCTAACCACGCAGTCATGTCTGTAAAGGAAATAAAATAAAAAACACAAATAAGCGCAAGAATAATTCCAGCATTAGAAATGCTATTTTTTGTTATCAGAATACAAATGGATGGAGTAAATTAAAGTGAATAAATAAGATACCTATTTTTTTTTTAGTTTTTGTATCTTTGCTGTGAAAGATGAACATTTAGAGCTCCTGAAATTGAGTTAGTAATGGTCCACATGTGCCAGCAGACAGGCCTCGGTGAATTTTACATCCTTTAGGGCTCAGTGCGTCCATCATCAGAGCAGTTTAGGTTCTTAATCAGGATCAAACATTAAGATATACCAACCTAGTTCTTTCCTTTTGTGTTTAAAGGCCCGATTGGTGACATAAAAATCACAATATTTTTACTTCAAATAATTATTCTTTTTTAAATTAAAATATTTTTTCTAATTGATAGGAGAAACAAGCCTTTTCTTGTGCACCTGTGTTCTGTTTTAGATGCTCTTCTCAGTTTCTCAGAGGACTGGACTTTGCTTAAATGCTCATAAAACTCCTCCTTTACTCTTATAAACAGCTTTCCTGTTTGGATCTCTAGTGAAACGTTTTCCACTCGATCTGTTCTCTTATAATCCAAATAAATCCGCGCCTCCCAAACTGCGGCGCACCTTCACAACTGCGTTTTTTATTGCTTGGGAATAATCTGCCTCTGCAATTAGTCTGTCATACATCGCCATTAGAAGTCTATTAAAACATCAAGTCATTATTTGAGCATCCCCGGGCAGGGAGGGGAGGGGAATTAGAATAAAACTATCTTTGCCGCACGGGTCCCATTTGGATTAATGGGGAAATATGTAAAACATTTCGTTTTAATTTTCCTCTCACGGTGTTTTGCATACGCGCCTTCTCTCTCTCTCTCTCTGTCTCTCTCCGCCTGCGCTGAAGCGCTCATTATTTATGAAAGCAATCAGGACCTGCACATTACCGGCTATGAAACGCTGCCTAATTGATTCCCCATCAATTTGCTTTTTTTTCCCCTTATTCTGCGAGGTTCTAATCGTGTTAATTGTAATTTAATCTTTAAGGGAATACCAGTGACATGTATTTAAATAAGACTGCAGTTGTTTTTTTTTTATTATCACTTTCCTTATGGCATAAAATTAGGAAACAGACAGTGATAAATTCCTCCAATCTAGAGGGATACTGAGGTGAAAGCTATAGGAGCAGAGGTTTTACTACATTTCCTTAAATACAGCCCTGCCTAAATGATTTCCCCCTCCATCCTCATGAGGAGCTTTGCTTTTGTCCCTGCATGATGCCTGAGCTGCAGCCCCCTCTGCTCTGAGGTCTTCCTTCCTGTCTGTGGGTGGGGGGCACCTGTTGGAGCAGAGCAGCTTGCAGAGTCAAGTTGTCCCATCAAACCGAGCTCCTGCAAAACTAAAGTCACTCCGTTACGCTCTGGTGGGCATGCAGTGTGGGGCATTCACAGCCATGTGAGGCTAAATGGCTTTTTGAAGGCCTTTCTTTCACCTCTACAGTACTCTGAATAGACAGGGAAAGCTGTTTTACTATAAAATAATGTTTAAATGTCCTTTTAGGTTAATCTGAATACAGAAAAGATGTTCTCACTAATAATTCAATTTGGAAAAACGGGCAGAATTAGTGCATTTTTCATGAGGTGGTGCTCAAAAGGCAATAGGTTAGACAAAACCGCCCTGCAGAAGATCTAGAGGGGAGCCGAGATGATCATCAAACTTTCAGTTTTTTTATGTTTCTTCTGATTTCTATAAGTAGGGGTTTATTGCTTATATAGAATATCCTAACATTGTCATAGTAAAAAACAACAACCCTGAAGTTATAAAAAAATTATTTTAAATGCAGTTAGTGTAAAAAATGAATCAATGAATTTTGTTATTTTATGGTAAACATACTTTGTAGCATGTCCTTTGACCGCATTAGTCTTGTTTTGTGTCTTGTTGGAGAAGGGTGACTGTCTGGGCATTATAGGTTGATCAAAAAGAGCTTATTATAAAGTATTAATTGTACATTTTTACCATGTAGTTGTTAGTGTGTGTCGGGAAAGTAGAGAGCTTTCAATAAAATGGGTACTTGCACTCATATTAGTTCATTTATCTTGAAATGTGGAGATTCTGACATCAGTGAGTGGCAATTATTGGTTAATATAGAACCATTGTAAAAACGTTTTGTCCATGTCATTTATAAAAAGACTGACCGCATTAGTTGTGTTTTGTGTGTTGTTGGAGAAGGGAGACTGTCTGGGCATTCTAGGTTGATCAAAAAGAGCAGAACTCTTCAAAAAATCCCAACAAGAATAATGTTAGACATTTCGGAAAAATGGAAAAAAACATTGCCATGAAATAAATAAAAGAAAATGATGTAGTAATGATGAATTCATGTACAAAGGCACGGGAAAAAGATACCTGACATTTAATTTAGGACTTTACCTGACTTGTTATGAACCTGCTAATGATTTCTATTTTAAATGTTTGTGTTTCATACTATTTTTTATACATAAACAAAAAAATACAATAGACACCGTTTCCCCCCCAAAAAAGTATTAGCCCTAAAATCACACTTTTTGGACACTTTAAACTTAAATGGAGCATTTTGGATGCAAATGTTTAACAGTTTAAGAAGTCGAGATAAACATTTCAAAGTTCAACAAGATTGTTGTTATATTTTTTTCTAGTCTAAGTAATCAGGGCAATCAAAAAATGTATATTTTATAGTTCTGATATAGTGACACAATGTCTAAATGTAGCTACAGCTAATAGCTGCAAATATAGAGTTAGAAAATAAATGGCAGCAAAAAGTGAACCAGTCTCGAATAACCATTGTGGCCAAATGCCACGGCTTACCATCGGGGTATTTGGCTGGATGCAGGAGTGGGTTTCTGTCTCATTTTTTTATTTTTTTTTGTCTGGACGGGCCTGGCACAGACACCGGCTCTGTCCCAGACACAATACATCATACAGTAAAGGGAAAGAAACATGAAAAAAGAGAGAGAAAGAGAGGGGATGAGGTGGGGTAGAGGTGGTATGGCGCCTTTCATTACCATGGTCACCAATGGCACTATTAACCATTCGACACCCCCCCAATTATCCTCCCATCCGCAGTCAGAGAGACAAAGCCTCGGTCCTGGTCTGCTGGAGCAACATGGCCACTAATCTGTCTCTACTCGAACATCACACCCACTTCACAGCCTCTGTGAATCGGACAAGTGTTCAACAAAGCCCTCTTTTGTGCTTTCATTTGTGACTTCTTCACTCCGCTCATTAAGTTCATTTTTTATGTTCCGCTGAAACAGTTTTGATGAATGCTGCTGTAAGCACAGGTCACCCTAATGTAGGAAATCAGTTTAATGCTGCTGCGTGCCTTTCACCTCAGCCGCTGTGTGGCTAAAACGTCAAGTAAAAAAACTCAAAACAATTAGATTTTTCTTTTGTCTTAATGTTGAAGTACTTGAGTCATAATGGAGGCAGGCGGCTGAGGCCTGGCTGTAACTACGGGGCCCGAGGAATAGACCTGCCACAGCAGAGCGGTGTTGTTTGTTTACCCTTTGGGCCCCCCCGCCTGGGCGTGCTGATGGTAGAGCATTCATCATGACTCGGGAGAGATGGAGGGTGTGGGCACGCAGGCTGCAGAGTGACATGACGGTGAACATGCTGCCAGAAAGCTGCACAGGGTTCATCACCAGAGCACTGATCAGGCTCACAGTGAGATCTTGAAATATTCAAAACACACACCAGTAATTCAAATAAGACTCTCATATAAACAGACATGTACAGCCACTCAGTGTATTTACATTTATGTTTACTACACTAAAAATACAAGCCATGTTTTTCGTTGTAATCCTGCACCAGGTTTGTAAAGTTCATGAAGTGATTTCCAGTTTCCTGTCCTTTTTCCGACCCGTGGTTCCTCCGGTTATTTCCTCGACACAGCAGCAGAGAGGGTCAGGATATTCTGAGCCTGCTTCAGCGAGGGCAAGTCAATCATGCTGCCGCGAAAGGTGAATGCGCCCTGGAGAGAAAAACAAACACTGCTTTAAAAAAATGCACCTTTGATAAATAAAATCAGTTGCAAATTCTGTCAATATTTTGACATCAGAATAATAGAAAGCCTTTTTTTTTTCTTTCCTCCGGACAGGAACCTGGAAAGACAAAGGAACAGTAGAAAATATAAAATGCAAACACACGTGGAGCGCTTGGCTGAGGGACGGCTAAGAGATGAATCCCTTCGGGCGATGCCCTGGCAGGGAGAGAGAGGTGGCGGGCAGATTGTGTATTACCTCAGCAGACAGCCCACAGAGCTCTGCACACAGGCTCCAACCATGCACTAAATTAGGGACAATAATATTGTACACTTAATTGGCCCAACTCCCCTCCCCTCACTGTCCTGATAGTCACCCCGGGGCGTACAGTATGTAGTCTTTGGAGCTATGGAGGTGTGCACACAAAGGATCGGTGTGAGCGTCGGAGCAGAGAAACAGCCGTGTCATCACAGCGTACGGACAGCAGAGGGATGTTGAAGAGTTGCAGATGGGAATATCTTAAAGTAGCTGTTCTTATAATGAGTGTTTTTAAACATGGCGATCAGGTAAGAGCCAGTATGAGACTATTATAGTATCATATGCTCAAGTAAAGATACTGCATTCTCATGGTAATGGCTTATTTATGTAAACAAAGGAATGTGTACGACATAATCCTGCATTCCAGCTCATATTTATACCTAAAAGGCTACTAGGGTAAAGCAGACAAACACAGCCTGGTTGATTAGTCCTGCAATAAGTTTTCGTAGAGCATGCTCTCAACTTCAAATGCATCAGCCACAGCTTTTCAACCGTAGTTTTAACCCTATTTTAGTTCTTTTCAAAAATCTAATATATCAAATTAACTTTTTAAAACATTTAATAGCTAATTCTCTCTAAAAAAAAGGGCAAACATGCAGTTCTTAATAAGATTAATGGTTTGTGAATCATTAGTTTCCAAACCATGACTGTCTCATATTTTTTTTGTAGATGATTGAAGTGCAGGAAGGGCTCAGATCAAAACTGAATGACGTAAAGTTTTAGGGGTTTTGATAATGTAGCTATTATATAAAGTGTTGCTAATCCTACAAATAATTTCCTTTGACAATCAAAAGTATTAAGATTCTGATAAATCTACACTTATCATTACCTTTCCTTCTTTCTGATGTTGCTTGAAAGCAGCGATGAGCTCCTTGGCCCACTGGACCCTTTCTGAGCTCGGGGAGAACTCCTCCTGCACAGCTTGGACCTGCCCGGGGTGAATAACCTGCTTACCTACAGAAAAACACACATCAGAACATGTAGCTGGAGACAGATACGTTTGGCTCCATGGTGCTGTTCATGTCACTATTTCGTTATTTTTATTTAAAGACAGATTTTGGGTGGAGATACAAAAGAAACACGTTTAATACCCACGATTCATGCATCCACTGCTACCTGGTTTAACAAATCTCCATTCTCTGCTTATTCATGCAGTTATATGACTTTGATAAACATGATCTACCAGCAGGTGGTCCCTCAGTTACTTAGGTCTGATTCAGTTGTCATCAAAATATGTGCACTACTGCAAACACATAGGTCTGCTTGCTTGCAAATAGTCGCCTGATACTAAATATTTGCAAATAACACATGCAAATAATGTATTTGGTCTGTTGGAAATCTCTTTATTGCCCTACTTGCTGTATAATTTTAGTGGCAGAGATTCTAAACCTCACAAAGTGTGGGGACTGGGGATGGAGGAAAGGAAAGAAGAATCATCCCCCCCCCCTCCTCCACATAGCCATCTTCTCCATTGAATGTGGGCGACGGCTGCAGACATAATCCCGTGTACATTTGCAGATCAAACTTGTAGCGATAAAGTTGAGGGTTATGAACATGTCTGAGAAGAACGGCAGCTCAGCAGCAGCCAGCAGGAACCCGACACTTTAGGGCTTAGCTCTGTCGCCAGCAACAAATCCTTCAAGGTGGCTGTGCAGGCGGGCTGCACGAGCGAGTAGGGTTAAAAAAAAAAAAAAGAGTCGCCCAGGAGAGGGGAGAAAAAAGGGGGAGGAGAGAATCCTCTGCTCACCCTAGTTAACCTTGGGGGAAAAAAAAAAACCCCGAAAACATGGCAATGATTACTCTTTAGCCTGGATAATATTAATAATCGTTTTTTTTTCCACCCGAGTTTTTTTTTTGTTTTCTCTGTTAATTACAGAGTGTTTATTTAAAGCAGAGATACAAAAACAGCTTGAAGAGTTTACACAGATATCTGACCAGGTTTCTGCACCTGTGTTTATCGGATGATCAGAATGAAATAATAATAAAAGAAAAAGGTGCCTTCCCTTTTATGAACACACGATTTCCTTGTTGCTATAGAATGTTTCCATATTAAACCTGGTGGGCTTAAATTTTCTTTAATTTTAGAAAATGTTTATTTAAGTCAGCCTGTGTGTGTGTGTGTGTGTGTGTGTGTGTGTGTGTGTAGAGCTGTTTAGGACAACAAGAAAATGATGGTTCCAACAGGGTTGGCTGGGCGACTCAGGTGCCCTTGGTTACAATCCATTGGTTCTCCTAAAATGCATCATTCACGCCATGCAGCCAATCCCAGGCTGCCATGTGGGGCTGGCATCTTATTGGAGGATTGCTATTTAGCAAAGTGCTCTCAGGCGAATGATGGACAGGGTCCTGGGGACAGAAGTGTAATGTGGCCCCGAAGAGCAGAGATTGTTTTGCTATTTCTAGAATATTTTAAATGCAAACCCACAGCTCAGATCATATTGAATAGGAAGTCTATACAACATTTAACTACAATAGGAATAAAACTCCTATCAGACATTTTGTTTTATCTTAATATCTTCATGTGTATGCATTAGATCAACATTTGCCTTTACAATACTAAGCTCCCTGGTACGGGGCACTAGTGTTCTGTGTTCTGTGCTTAATGGGTGCTGTTCCCAGCTTAGGTTGTGCCAAGGTCAATTACTGCACAGGTAAAGCTTTTGGCTGCACAGTATTATTGCTTAAGCACACATGGGCCAGTAATAGCTACTAACCAAGATTATACAGAGAGCCCACAGCTTGTACAGCACTAATCCAGCTCTTTAAATGCTTCTGCTCCCTTTCAAATCAAACCATTTATTTCATCAACCAGCTGATTCCCCTCAGCTGCTCCATTTTAATTCCTCGTGCACCAAGAGATCAACTGCAAATCTTTCTCACTGCAGTTCAGTTCTATTCTTGACTAAGCTTGAGGAATCGTGTGCCGAGTGTAGCTCTGAAGATGCAAAAACAGGATAGAGAACAGAATACACGCAGGCACAAGAACCTTCAGCACACCGGAGGGGCGGAAATGGCAAACAAGGTCACCTGGATGAGTTTCAGTGGGAAACAGCAAAAAGTGCAACTAACACACTGATATAACATGACATACAGGCACTTTCTGTGTCTCCATAAGAGCCCCATGAAGAGCAGGTCATTGATTCAATGTCTGTCTGGAAGCTTTTTTTTCTGGAAAACTAATGCCTGATACAGCTCAGCTAAAACAAATAATTCTAAAAATAAAAGAAAATGAGATTTAGGTAATTTTTTATGCAAAAGAATGTATTGATTTTTGATCTCTTGATAGAGGTAATAATTACAATTACTGGAGGTTCTTCCATGAATCCAGCAAAAGACAATCCTTTTTCTGTACCCCTCTCTCAAATTCAATACTTGACAAAGAAATTTATACACAATCAACTTATCCTTTTATATTTGGCATTTCAAATGAGGCATGTGATTTATTAAAAAAGCTAAAAATAGCCGTTTAACTTGGTAATGAATTGGTAGTTCATATAAGACATCAAGTTCTGCTTTCATTAACCAGCTACTATAGTTATATTTTCTTAGTGCTTTTAGGGGGTACTAGTGGAGGTGTTGCTGCATAGCAAAAATATATCTATTAGGAGTGCAACTTGGACTTTTTTTTGGTTTATTTCAGTCCCCAAGCATATGTCGCCCAAAGTGGAGTGCCATATCTTAAAAAACTGATGCTGACAACAAATACACTTATCATTCCACTGTAAAACAGATCAAAATATTTGTTCAGGTGAAATTGTTATTACAAAATATCTTAAATGTTGTTTTTTTTTTTTTTGCAGATGAGAACTTTTAAATCTTCTCCCCAGGATTATAGGGACATGCAGTTGAAACAACATCAATGCTAACAATGGGAAGCAAGTATAGTTATAATAGTGAACATTGATATAATATTCATTATGGTGACAGTCTCTTTACCGGTGAAGCCCATGAGCGCTCCTTCCCTCGCTTGTAGCCTCAGTCCTTCTACATCTTTGTAGTCGATGTAAACCAGGTCAATGGCCTGCAGCCCAAAAGCTTTGGTGGTAACAACCACCTTCTGCCGAGCGTAGAGCAGCTCTCTGGCATCCTTAGTCCGTGTGGCACCTAAAGAGGGCCAGCAGGCAAATACAAGAATGCTGAGATAAAGTGGTGAGGGGCTAAAATTAACACATATTTGAATGAAGACTCATCCAACACTTAACAGTGAAAGTGACAATATACTACTGCCTTCTTTATAAATGTTTACCTTCTTTTTGGTTACAACAAAATTTTGTTTTTTTAGAGAAATATGTGATGGATGAACAGAAAGTGATCATATCAAAGTAAACAGAAGTTGTAAGTTTAAAAAGGTGTGGAACATATTTGTTTTTATCTGTTGTAATTTTTAATAAAGTGATGAAAATTATGGACAGCAGTGATCATCCTCTTCAGAAGATTTTTTAAAATAGAGTATCTTCAGTAAGAGGATTCTCAAGATCCGGTGCAAGACAGACAGCTACAGGAGATCCTTCCTGCCTACAGCTACAAACACCTACAACACCTGTTTAAAAAATAATGTATGAGTTACTGCAACATTTAAATTCCCTTTAATTAATAAAGTATTTTTGAATCGAATTGTATTATTTTGCCTCCTAAGTCAATATCTCACTGGAGTAAAAGTCGCAGATGTTTTAGGGTTTATCTATCCTCATTTTTGGCCTTTCTAATTTGCAAAATAGCTTCAGCCTAATCCCACCAAGTGGATCGTCTTCTGTCAAGTTCAAGTCATGCCAAAGACTTATTTAGATGCATGACTTTGACTAGGCCTTTCTAACAGAATGCTGCTTTACACTGGAGCTGAACAGTCTCCTGTCTTTTAGTGCTCTAGGATTGCCCTGTATTAAACTCCGTCTTCCATTCTATTCAGTTTTTTTGTACCTACCAAAGAAAAGAATCTAAAACTATGAAGCTGCCATCACAACTCTATCATGTTTATGTGAGCAGTGTTATTTTAAATCTCTTTCATTAAAGAATATCTTTTTAGAGAACAAAAAACATTATTCCTGTGTACAGATTTTATGCATAGTGGATGTCTTCATCTCCAGTTACCATGAGCCAGTTACCATGTTGCTTCTCAGCATAGATGGAAGGTGATGTTTGTATCAAAATCTAACCCTATCTTAAAAATCTCCTTAGTGTCTTCCCTCTCATGTCTGGCATATTCCTTGGTCTCACGTTGCTTATCCTTTAACACTGTTCTCTAAAGCCATCAAAGAACAGTTGGAATTCTAGTCAATTTAGTAAGAGGTTGGTAAAAAAAATGACACAGGGCAAACAACTATGAATGCTTTCACTAATAGCTAAGGGTAATTTAGAGAGACCAATGGACAACAACCAGTGTTGTATAGTAACGAAGTAAAAATACTTCACTACTGTACTTAAGTATATTTTGGAGTACTTTATACTGTCCAAGAGCATACATTTTTTTGAGAACTTTCACTTTTACTTCATTACATTTACAAACTTAATTGCATACTTTTACTCCGATACATTTTCAATGTTTGGTTTGGTTACTAAGTAAAAAAAAAAAACAAAAAACAAAAAAACAAGCGAGAGAGCAAGAGAAACGCAAGTGTTTTGACCTCACCTACTGACTACAAAGTCGGGTCTTGCCTGGGCTTGTTCATCAGCACCAATAGGATACACCTGTTTCGCAAAGCCAGTCTAAATTTATCCTACACTTGGTTGTGTATATTATTTTAAGTGAATTTAACCTTCAAAGTTTACCAAAATGTAAAAAAAAATGTAATTCAAACTGCACTTACTTTTTACTTATACTTTTCACTACATTACTTGAGTACATCTATTTTTACAGTAATTCTTATACTTAAGTACAAGCCATTTCAGATACTTTAAGATTTTTACTCAAGTAACATTTCAGTCAATGACTTGGACTTTTACCAAAGTCATATTTTGGAGAGGTACTTATACTTTTACTTGACTCCGAGATTTCAGTACTTTATACAACACTGACAATAACTAATGCTGGAGAGCCAAAACCATAAAATAATTGTCAGAATTCTCTAATTCTTTTAGAGCAACTATTGAACATTTTGATTTAAAAAAAAAAATCCATCAATTTTGAAAAGTTAAATTAGATATATTATTCGTGTAATTTGTGATACAATAGGCATTTCACTGCATTTAAGTCTAGATTTTCTCTTCACTGCATGTGTCTGACTGTATAGGTTTGTGGTTTTCAAGAACGAAATGATTACACTGATGATGTAGCTGCCTCAAAAATGTTTCAAATATGACACACTTGGTGTGAAAGAGTTAAAGATGTTCAGTTTTTGGACTGGGGTAGGAAGTGGGAGTATCCAGAGATAACTCAACAAATTCAGACGGAGAACATTCAGAAAGGCCCTGGGACATAATGCAAACCAAGAGGCATTTTGCTGCAACACAACACTGCATTAATGGCTTTTTGCAAGGCACTGTGAAAACAATAACAGCAAAACACCGATGGCAATAATTTTAGAGTGTCAAAATTGAAGTGTAACCGACACCTATGCTGGCACAGAAGTCATCGGAGCCAAACACCACACCGTCATGGTGGAGCCAGGCTCTGGGAGCGAGCTGGCGGATTTCCTCACACACCGCCTGAGAGAGAATGAATAAATCAGCATAACAGAGGCAGAAAGTGGCTGGAAAGAGGAAACAGATTTGAGAAATTATGGCACAGAGACATACAAGCCACTGTTGAAGATGCATTTTTACTTAGTTGAATCAAATAAAACATAAAAACTGAAGGATTTAATAGTTTCTCATATGGATTATTTGCAGTCTCAGTAAAATATTAATCCTTGAACTTTAAGTACATTACCAGAATCAAGTTTTTCCTAAACAAAAAATCTGGGCCAAAAGCATTGCAGATACACGGATGTTGTCCATAAAAGCAGGTAAGACACAGTTACAAACAAAACCACGACAACCTAGATGAACTGGAGCAAAGAGTGACATACAGTAAGATGTTTTTCATGCTTGTCTTTAATTTCAACTCCAAATTAATACTACTGCTAGCTGTGCCACAGAAAGTTACCTGGTGTTCAGTCTGGGTGAAAAAAAGAAAGGGTTTCTCAAGATACACCCCCAACCACAGAAAAAAACCATACGTAAACACACATAACCCAATCACAGTCAGAGAATTAGACAGAAGAACAGGCGAACAAAAGAAGGACTGCCAGCTGGTTGTTCTCCAAATCTGCTCTCTTTTCCCCTCCAAGTAGCTGAAGGTCATGCTCTACCATTCCTGAAATCTGACTGATTCTAGCAGAAATGTTCTAAAGATCTTTCTCACTATGAGGACATCAAGTTTGCACTAATTAAACAGTGTCAGGATGTCTGAGGATGGAAAGAAACAGAGAGACTAAAGCCTCAGATCCCTCTCATTCTGGATGTGGCGATTTCTCTCCATGCTGACGGAGTCTTTAATCTAAAGCCAACTATAAACAAAAAGCGAGATCTCTTACGTTTGCAGTTTTCCTTTTATTCACTTGTAATTTACCTTAAAATTGAGCAGGCCCACAGCGGTTTCCACAAAGGTGACAAGGCGAATGGGTTCTGTCAGTGTCCGTCCTTTCAAGTAGTGCTGAAACCTGTCAACAAACTGAGCACATGGGCGACGTATCAGGCTCCGCTCATTAATAACACTCACAGTTTACCTGACTGCGAGACAATAAAGCTCTCAGCAATCTGAGTCAATTAATTTACCCGAAGCGCTGTAGCCAATCGTGTTCAAACAATCCAAATAAATAGGAAAACACATAATTTAACTCCATTTTCTTTTGCCGCTCATTTTTATATTCAATGTAAGTTCGTACAAGTCTTATAACTAGCAAGAGATGATGGGAAAAGGATTTTATCTTAGGGTAGAAAAATAAAGGGAACAGAATTTAAATGATGAAAATGGGATAAAAGGAGCAACACTTGATTTGACTTTGTTGTAGTGATATAAAGATGCTGTAGATGAATTAAAGAAATAGCTAAAGTGGAGAAGATTGGCACTAAAGTTGATCTCAGGGTAATGTATACTACTGGATTGAATAAAAATATACAAACAGCAAAATCAAGTTAAGAACTAAGCACTGGAATTTAGTAAGATGTAGGGAAGAGGGGGCTGAAGACCCATCCTAAAAACAACAAAAACTAACTATGAAATTTGGGCACTAGATTACATCCATTTTGGAGCAGCAGAGTAAACGGGGCTGATTCTGAACTATATGAACAGCAAAAACAACCTAATAATATCGCAGTGGATTTTATTTTGAGGTATCAGAGGAAACGGGGTTGACACTAACCCATGGCACACTTCTAATTTTATTTTTAATAATAAAAAAAAACATTTTAATAAATGCACACCTTTGTATGTACAAAATCTGCTAGTTTAAACTGGGTGTAAGGTTTTGCAGTAATAACAACATAGGGTTACAAAAACTGCTTTTCAAAATGCCTTTGAGGATAAGAATGATGGAGTAGAGTAAAAAAAAGTCTTAAAATGTCAAAATTCCTCTTCGATGGAAATCTCGACACTTCTAACCTGTGCCATTCCAGTTTCAGCCCTTATTCAGACATACATCTGTGAGGGTTCACAGGGCGCAGAGAGCACGCAAAGGAGAGCAGCAACAAAAGCGAAGAAAGAAAATATTTTACATTAACACCAGGGTTCCCCTCTTCGACTGAAGTATTCTGCTCTACCTTCTTTCAGAGGTTCTCCAAACCTACAGCTTGTGCTCCCTTGAGAACATGCAGACATGTAAATGCACCCACGCACACACCGACACATGCAGAAGAAACAAAGTGCAGAAGAAGGAAGAAGAAACAAGATTTGGGACGTCTTTGAGCATGTTTTTACCACTGCATTATGCTGTTTTTGCAAACCTCCTTCGTGGGGAAGAGGAGAGAGTGCAGCAACAATCAGAGAGTGATGTGACACTTTGCTGAGGCCTTTATTCTGCACGACTCCTGCTAATATGCAAGCTCACCTAAGTAGGGCTTTAAAACCCAAGTTTAATTCTTTGAAGACCAAAGCATTCCGATTTTTTCCAACAGACCAGTTCACAGCTAGCCCTGGACTGCCAGTGGGGTTGCCCAAATTCCTAAATCTATCATCTGGAAACACACAAAAGCCCCCTCCGTCAGATATTTCCTTTCAAAGCCAGACAAAAAAAAAAAAAAAAAAAAGACAGAAAGAAGAGAGACTAAAAGCTCAGAGAAGAAATGTCTACCTCTGAGTTCCTTCCTCTCCTTCTGCTCTTTCTGCAAGACAATAGAAATAAAAAATAGTCATTATAAATAACCTCAGGTAGACTATGAATATTTGTCCAAACAGGGGAACACAATAGCCCTCACACTCACCACTCTCCACACTCGTTCGGAAAACTGAAAGAGTGGACCTCCACTGAAGGGATTTGAAAAAAGAAAAAAAAAATAGGGGCAATTTTAATCATCTCTCCATTCAATCTCAGTTGGATAAATCATATCGAGGAGATTTGCATAAATACAAACCATCAAAGACTTTTCATCTTCAAAGAGGTTTTCAAGACCCAATGGGCTTTGTACTGTAATCATCTGAGGTCACAACCCTGTGGGAGCAAGGCTGCTATGGCAACATAAAAACTAACGCTGGGGGTTTTAGCATAATATGCCCCCCTCCCTTGCCAACACAGGAAGGGGTGTTGGGGGGGCTGAGTCGGAGTGTGAAAAGAGGGTGTAGATAAACCCATTTTTTTGTGACAGAGCAGACCAGATAGATGTTGGGAAATCTAACATACATCACTGCTGGTCAAGCTGGTGGTTTAGATCCTACTGCAGAAAACAGGCGATGGCTCCACTCAACAAAAAAAGCCAGCTCTTCAATGACTAGACGTTTCTGTTCTTCAAGAATCTCCTCTTCAGCTATTATATACCTAAAGTGTCGATTTACCACCATAAGAGGTGCAATAGCGCCTGCTTATTCTCACTCTGACACGGACGGCAACCATTAACTGTCAATGGCTATCAAAACTAAGACCCTTTAAGGTGCTATTCGCTGAATTGAATAAAATAAAAGAATTGATGAAGAGAACAAATAACACCTCTTCTTGCCATTCAGAGCCTTGATACAAACAAGCCCTCGGACAATTTTCAACTCGCAATCATGAAAAGAGAAGGAGGGAGAGACGGGGCTCGAGAATGAAGGCTATAGTGGGACAAGTTTCAATTAATTTTCTTCAAAAGGGGGCCAGATTAAATGTTTCCGGCCTGCTGAAGTGTTCATTTCACAGAGGGGAAGCGGAGAAAAGGGATGAGGGGAGGGGACGAGAGGAGGAGTAGAGGAGGAGGAGGAGGAGCGGGACAGGGTGCGATTCTTTTGGTCCCCAGTGCACACCAAATAGTATGGTGGGCAAAGAATGCGCACGGCTCCGAATCTGTGTGAGAATTGTCCTCGAACAAAAGAGTGCGTGTGTGAAGGGGGGTTTACGCCTGTTACAGCCCAATAAGGCCTGTCAGTCACACAAGGGGCTGGAGGAGAGCAGAAAGGCCAAGCAAAAGAGTTTGGCACAAAGAGAAACAAGCAAGTCCATCTTTTAGCGACAAATCAGGCTGAAGGTTCCTGTGCCAATATCCATTAAAAAAAAGGGTGAAAAATAAACAAGTGAGGGATTTACTGCCTGGCCTAACAAGAGCGGAGAGAATCAGACATGCTTACAATGCAAACACACACAGGGAAAAGTCTGGGCAAGGCACAGACGGAAAGAGCTGTGAGGGACCAAGGTGAGATCGGATGAGCATGCATGACAGACTCAAAGGCCAGAGCAGAACTTGTGTTAGTCTCTGGAGCGTGCATACGCCTGCTGGTGCAGAAACTCACAAATAAATCAAAACAGAAGCGCAGTAAGCTTGCAGCCAGTTCTCCTGAGGAGAACAGACTAAACAACAGGCTGACTTGAATAAACGTACAATTAAGCGCATTAGTGGCACAAAAGGAAAAAAAAAAAGGCAGACAATTATCTGCGTCATACGGCTTTTAATTTGCCAACAATGTTTTTTTTTTTCGAGCTTGCAATAATAATAACAATTTTAAAGGAAAATGAATGACAAAAGTGTCTCTTTTCAGAGAATAAAAGTAGTACAGGATGAAAAGCTGGCGCAGTGAATAAGCGAACACCTGTCAGCAATTATACTGGGAAGAAAGCAGGGGCAGCAGGAAATAGACGTGTTCTAATTAAAACCACTAGTTAAAAACTTCCTCCGCCTGCCGCTAGACCATGTATGCGTACATATTACACATAGTGTGTGTGTGCTTTAGTGTGTACATGAGTGCGCTATGGTTTCGAAGCCAAACCAGACACATGCCTTTCACATCCGATTTAACTGAAGCTTTTAAACAGCTACATTAAGCGCTTAGAAAAAGCTAAACAGATATTTTGCCAGTAAAAATCTAAGAGAAAAATAATACAAGCTCACATGTATTATCTTTTCACCATTATTACAAAAAAAATGAAGAAAATAATATTTACTGTTATACTTTTCTGGTAAGTGAATATAGGCATATGGTGCTGATCAAAACAGCTCTGCATTAATGACGTCCCTGTCTCCTGACCTTTGAGAAATTGGCAGCTGTACAGCACCCTTTTATTAAAACCCACATGGTCACCACAAAACAAACGACTCTTTACGAATGCACAGGTACTGAGGAGAGATAAAATGTCCAGAAATGTGACGATTTAGTTTGTTGCAAAGAAACAACAGTAACCTGCATCAAAGGTTAGGTAAGGTACTATGCATAACTATTAACAAACGTTACAGATATACCTAAAAAAAAGAGAATCTTTTAAGTAAAAAATATGGATCACACCTTTTCTTAATAAAATACAAACTTTTAATCTGAATTCATTCATTTAGTGTTTAATTTAGTTTAACTCAGTGAAGATGGATGGAGAGCGTTTGTGAACAGCAGTTCTTTCCTCAGATTCTCGACTGGATTCAGGTCTGGACTTTGACTTGGTCATTCTAACTTCTGGATAAGTTTATTTATGAACCATTCCATTGTAGATTTTGCTTTACATTTTGGATCATTGTCTTGTTGGAAGATAAATCTCCGTCCCAGTCTCAGGCCTTTTGCAGACTCCAACAGGTTTTCTTCCAGAATGGTCCTGTATTTGACTGCATCAATTTTCCCATCAATTTCCCATTACTGTTGCTTTTATGCCAAACATAACATTTTGCATTGTTAACAAGAAGTTAAATTTTGGTTTCATGTGACAAGAGCTCCTTCTTCCACATGTTTGCTGTGTCTCCCAGGTGGCTTGTGGCAAACTTTAAACAAGACTTTTTATGGATATCTTTAAGAAATGGCTTTCTTCCCATACAGGCATGATTTGTCCAGTATACGACTGTTGTCCTATGGACTACCACCTCAGTTGTAAATCTCTGCAGTTTATTCAGAATGATCATGGGCCTCTTGACTTCATCTCTGATCAGTCGACTCAACTCAACTATTGGCCATGGCTGAGGGAAAGAAGAACTTTGAACCTTAAAAGAGAAAACATGACAGGGATTGTGCCAACAATGTTTTTTCAATTCTCTTTTCTCAACTTTATTATTAGACTGGTAAGTTAATACTTCACTCCTAGTATACAGTCATCTGTCTTTGTTGTTATTTTTCTATGCGTAGTAGAAGCAAAATGCGGGCAGAGAAAGCTAGCAGATTACAAGCCAAAGCTTATGATATTCAGCTTTACTGCTCTCTTAAATCCTCAGAGATCCAGAAGTTCAGCTCTCTGCTGAATGTCTTGCGTAAGTTAAACAATGGCTTGATGCAAATTCACTGCAACCAAGCTCAGGTAAAACAGGTGCTCGTGAATGCCCCTGATGACGGTATTCCAGGTATCCCCCACTATCTGGGAGGCTTGAGTTTGTCTGCTAAACAAGGCCATGAGCCCCATTTGCACTACCGTTTTGAAACCGTGCAGAGATCAGTTCGAGCACGGTAACCAAGATAACTGTTGAGTGTACATGGCACTCATAACTTAACCGGACTGTGCCTGACACAACCGAACTGTGCTAAGCTGGTACTAGTTCATCAGTAGGGCTCGGCGCGGTTCAGTTCTTGCTCTGCTCTCAGATAACAAAGAGCGCATGAGCAGACCACGTCTTCTACTTACATTCAGCCGCCCTAATCATGAAATTTCAGACATTCATAAAAATACTAGCTTCCCTACCGTGCCACATGATTTCCAGTGATGATTCTGCTTAACAGTGTGATGAACCTCAATGTCTGTCTAGTTTACTTCCCCAAAGCCGACTCTGTCAAGTAGATTTACCAAAGGCAGCCTTCTTCGCCTGACTCTAAGCAAAATTCCTGCATGTTACGGGTGCCGCCATGTTGATTTGCTTATTTACCTCTAGAGAGCAGTAGTACCGTGGATAGTCACTAGGAGGTGAAGTACCATGCTAGCGTGGTGTGTAAATGGTCTTAAGGAACCAAGCTTGGCACTGTTAACTGATCAAAATTTGGCACCGATCGGTTTTCAGAGGGTAGTGTAAACAGGGCTTTAGAAAACTAGGCACTATCTTTGACAAAGCATTGTCATTAGAGCACCACTCACAGCTGCTGACAAGGAATTTTTTGTAACAACTGAGGAAAATCTCTAAACTTATAACAATTGTGTCCAGAGATGATCTTGAAATGATTATCCACACCTTTGTTTCTTACCATTTAGACTACTGTAACAGTCTATTCTCATGTCTATACAAAAAGGAGTTGTCTCGTCTTCAGCAGGTTCAAAACTCTGCGGCGAGGTTACTGACTCGTACAAACAGAAGCACTCCTTTTACGCCGATTCTAAAAACTCTTCATTGGCTCCCAGTCTCTCTTCAGTTCCAGTTTAAAATCCTGGTCATTACCTTCAGAGCCTTACACAGTCAGGATCCCTCCTACATAAGACACTTGTGTCCTTATACCCCCTTTCAAAGGCTGAGGTATCAGGACCTGAACCTGTTAATGGTCCCTCACACTTTTTAGAGGCCCAGGGGAGATCGCTCCTTTCAGGCGCTCTGAAATGATCTTCAGCTTTCCTTGCGCTTACTTGATTCTGTTGATGTTTTTAAGAGCAAACTTAAAACCTATTTGTTTAAGAAAGAATTTTAATTCCAACAAGATTTAGGGTTGTTTTATGACCATGTCTTTAGTGACTGTAAATTTATTTTTATTTGCATTGAAATTTTTGTGAAGTACTTTGTGATCTCTATGTCTGTGAAAGGTGCTATATATATATAAACATTACTTACGTACTCACTACTTATTAACCCGAGCTACCCCGCTACCCTCCGAGCCGCAAGGTCCGGCCAGTGCAGAGTTTTCTCCTAGTATACTGTCATATATCTATATTATTTTTGATGTTTAGTAGATGCAAAATATGGGAAGAGAAAGCTAGCAGGCTACAAACAAAAGCTAACTGAGATGGCGAAGCTCTGCTACTGGTCCTCTGCGCTGTCGTAAAAGTCAACAGTCAGCTGGCCGGCTGACTGTTTGTTGACCTTTACAACAGCGCTGCAGCGTTTGTTGCTTCAAGGATCACCAGATGTATAGTTACAGCTCTAGCAGCTTGGCCCCTGGTGGCTCAAAGTTACACGGTGTGCCTTTAAAGAGATCTCTGAGACAATTATAGAGCAGGTACATATACAGAGACTTGATTACACACAGGTAGATTTTATTTATCATCATCAGTCATTTAGGTCAGCAGATGTTGAGTTTGAATTCAGCAGCTGCGTCCTGTGAAGGCCAGATTCTTCAGCCGATTACGTCGTAGCGCCACGCCAAGGCCTGTTTGGATTGGAAGACCCCTCATTATTTGGCCGATGAATGCAGTCTTCTTTTTGCCTGTTTTGAAGTATGGGTCTGGTGTATCCTACGTAGCCTTGGTTATCCCACGATTCATTGCAAGTCAAAGCCAGCTGGCTGCGCGGTGCTCAGAAGGTAAATGGAGCCAAAGAGAACATTAATGAGAAGTTCGGTATCCATTCTTAGCCTGCTTTGTGTGTGAGCTCTCACGGTTGCTAGGCGACAGAGCGTACGGGCGGTGAAAGCTGGAGAAAGCTGGACCTGTTTGAATCCATAGCCAAAACTCTTTAAGCCTCCTTATTTTTACAGATCTCAAGGGCCCCAGTCCATTTAGACCAGGTCCTTGGAGGATCCAACCTCTGAAATCGAACGCATCCATTGGATCATTCAGTGATCCTCAAAGTATTGCTGGAGAGGGCCTGCTGCACTGAAAGTAAAGGGGCTGTTTAACTTTGCACGCCACACTGTTTTTATTTAAAAGTTTAAAATATCCAATAGATTTTGTGCCTTTTCATGATTGTGCCCCACTTGTTGATCCCTCACAAAAAAATTATATATCTTTATGTTTGAAACCTGAAATGTGACAAATGGTAGAAAAGTAAAAGGGGGCTGAATACCTTCGCAAGTCACAGTATTTCAGTTCATCTTGAATTAAAGGGCTGAATGTTGATAAGTTGTATTAAGTTGGTTTGTAGCCAAAACATGAAATCTCTCACAGCAGTGTGCCATGTAGAGTGTTGAACAGCTGGAGAAACTCTCATTGTGTTGTTGAAAAGGCTATCAGGATAATGAGCTCGACCTGAAGATATGTGTTATCCTTTCTTAAAATAAAGCCACAGCCACAGGTAGTCATGGAAAAGAATATTTTGACTATTTACAAAGAAAGAGAAAAGCAACAGAATATTTTATCTTAAATCCTGAATTTGAACTCCTTAAAATGCATCCGTCTTAGACAGAGATTCTTCACGGTACTTGAGTTGTAACTCACCCATTTGACTTCCTGAATGTCCTCTACTTTGGGCAGCATAATGGCAGGAGGAAGAACCTCTGCTTGCAGGACAACCTGCAGGTCGGCCTCAGCTAGGCCACTAGAAACGGAGTTCACCCTTACACACTTCTCAGACCGGCCCAAATCCAGCTCTCCCAACATCCGAGCTATGGTCTCTCTGGCTTCAACCTGGCAAACAGAGACATGAAGCACACATAAATTAAACCATGATTATTTCAGGAACCTCTTAACTTTTTTGAAGGTTGAAATTAATACAGAACTTGCTCAATTATTTTTATTGTGTGAAGTTATTACATTATTGCGGAGGAAAACGTGGTGAAATTAAGGTCATTTAATTAACTATTTATGTATTTCAGCAGTCACTTAACGTTCAAAGACTAATCATTCATATTCATCAAATAATAATTGAAAAAGACGAAAGGAATGTAATCAAAGTCAAATGTCCTTCATAGAAATGTAGCTGTGTAAATTAGCTTAAACACAAGCATAAAACTAACAATTTCAATATGAAGAAAAAAACGACGATCAAAGAGTTTATATATATATAGCAATCTGGCATAAATAATACTAATATGATAAAACATTTGAAACCCCCCACTGTGAAAAGAAAAATTTTCTTTCCTTTTAATGGTTTTTCAGGTTTAATAATGGGTGAGTTGAGGAAATAAGCAGTAATATTATTGGCTGTCCATTTCAATTTGTTATAAAAGAGTCATTATTCTTAACGGCTCAGCTGAAATAAATTCTGTAGAACCCTGAATTTAAAACAATCACTTTTCAATGCAATAATTGTTAATAATATGAATTTTATCCACAATATTTTAAAACATTGCCCATGAGCAAACATCTGTTTTAATTGAATAAAGTAATTCAGGCTTTGCAGTTTGTGGTTTTGTTCATACAAAATTGCAGTGAAAAAAAAATGTAAATGCAGTACGGACAATTTATTGCATCTGCAGTATAATTACAATGTAAAAAAGAAAAAGCAATTACCAATTTGCAGAGGGACACTAACACTAACTTTCCAAATTGAATAATTTAGGTGGCAGTAGCAGTGCTAAATGAAGGTAGGCTGCCACACTGAAGAGCACAGAGTGTTGCAGTTAGCACACAGATCCATGTATACTAGCTACAAGTGTTGTCACCCCATCTAAAATCTATCAAAATATTAATTTAAGGAACCTAAACGTTTTGCAACTATCTTGTTAGCTGTAATTCAATAATAGCACAAAACCACAAATTCTAGTGAAATGTACCTTCAACAGACTTCATTCATTATGCAACTGACTCCTTTATGCAAGATTAAGAGCAGGCATTAAAAATTTCTTAATTGTGTTCTCATTGTGAAAATTCAAATAGCAAAAATTCTTTATATGTGGCGCCAGTGGTATTGGATGCAGACTTTGCCTGCAACTAGGAGAGTTGTGGTTCAGGCTTTCAATGTCATTGTGTCTATGGGCATGAGACTTCACCCGCATTGCTTACTGATGGTGGTCAGAGGACCTGGTGGCACCTGTGTATGGCTGCCTGGCTTCTTCCAGAGCAGCTGTGGCTACTATGTTCCAAACATCGGTGTTTGAGTCAGTGCGTGAATGTGTGTTTTGGTCTAGAGCAGGCATCCCCAAACTCGGTTCTCAAGGCCCCCTGTCCTGCAGGTTTTAGAGGTTTCTCTGCTTCAGCACAGCTGGTTATGATAATTGCAGTAGACCAAAAGCCTGTTAATCAGCTTTCAATTAAAATCAGCTGTGCTGGAGCAAGGAAACCTCTAAAACCTGCAGGACAGCGGGCCTTGAGGACCGAGGTTGGGGGTGCCTGGTCTAGAGTATAGTACCTCACAAAAGTGCTATGTAAATACAGGCCCCAAATAGACACTTTTAGCATTGAAATGGTAAAAAGAAAAAGGATTTCAATGTCTATTGAAAACACATTTTTTAAGATAATTAGATTTTAAGCTATCATACAAAAGTACAAAAAGAAAGTTCAGGTTGAAAGTAAACATACATAAACACGAGTGCCATAACAGCTGTGTCAGGGTCCTGTCAACTGTAATTTCGTTTCGTACAGCTTTCATGACATTTCCATTTCTTAAAAGTGCAGCAGTGATCAAATGTAAACAGTGTGGGAGAAAAAACATTGTGCAAAAACACATTGATATGGAAGCTCAAAGCATTAAATATATATGGTGCAATTATGCAGTGTTTTGGTTCGTTGTTGCCATTATGATGCAGAGTCTGTGACATGATTTCGAGTTTTCTCAATAGTTCAGCTGTCTGATGACGGTGGGGAAGAAGCTGTTTCGGAATCTGCAGGACCTGCATCAAATGCTGCAAAGCCGCTTTTTTCAGAGGGCAGCAAGGAGAACGGTCCATGGTGGGGGTCCTTTATGGATGGAAGAGCCTAATTTATTTTTAAAAAAGCACAATAATATCCATTTCACAAAGAAGCCGATACCTTGTCTAACTTTCTTCCAGAAAAATGTATCATCATTGACTGTTAACCTTTTTCTTATGTTTCATATGTATACTTTTGTTTTTAAGGGAAAGGGGGAACAGGAGAGGGGGAGAGACATGCGGCAAATGATCACGTCGGATTTGAACCCTGGTCGGCAAGCTAATTGTGCATGAACTTTCGTAAGAACCTTAAACCATAAAAACATCTTGACTCTGAATCTTATAGAAGTTTAAAATGCATAAACCCCTATTTTTAAAGAAAATAGGTAAAACACAGGACATCATTTCTGAACAATCACGTATACTTAGAGATGCACAATATTTAGTTTTTAATGTATATATCATGATAGAAACTGAATCCAATATAGGTTATATGACTTTTAAACACATTTGAAATATTTTTATACACATAACACTCTATGGATACAGCATTTCTCACTGCTGTTCCTGGTTTTAGGTGGCTTTATGTTTTTTTAAGCAATTATTTCTAAAATGGTATTTTGGAGGAGTTTTATAAACATGGCAAAATAATTGACATATGCTTTAATAAATGGAAATGTATATTGTATAGCTTTTTATATGAAATCTGTATATTGTATAGCTGTCATAACAATGTACAAACATCTTTTTGTACACACAGATTGTGTACAAAATGACGTTTGACATTCTTATAAGATATTTTGTAGTGGCTAATCTTGGCAGTCTTTCTTAGGCTATAATTTTTGTACATTGGGGCAGAGTTTGCTCTTGAACCGCACGATTGTTGGTTCAAGCTGCAGCTCCGGCTTCCAATGTCATCGTGTCCTTGGGCAAGACACATTAGCTGCATTGCCTACTGATGATGGTCAAATGGTGCCTGTGTATTTCAGTGACCTCCCTTCTGTCAGTAAGCCCCAGGGCAGATGTGGCTACAATGTAGCTTGCCACCGTTAGTGTGTGACTGAATTTGTGAATGTCTAAATGTAGTGTACAGCACTTTACTCAGGTCTCCTGACTTGATAAAGTGATATATAAGTGAAGACCAAAAGTCAATATCAAAATGAAATCATATAATCATATAATCTGAAATAAAGATATAAGTTTTGGTCATATTATCCAGCCCTACCTACACTTTACTATGTATTTTTTATTTTTTTGCTTTTGTTTTATGAAAGAAAGACTATGCAGCCAATTTCTATCTTCAACCAAGTGGGGCAAGCAGCTTTACTCAAACCAGATGCTACAACTGCAGGAATGGAGAAGAAAATATTATGGAGTGGAGAGAATAAGTCAAGCTAAGGGAGAGGAAAGCGCTTCTGTGGGAACAATGTGGTCTGAGTTAAGCGGTATGAGGAAACAGTGGCTTACAAGTTGTCAGCTTATATTAGAAGCAAGAATCAGTTTTACTACTTTTATATACACACACACAAATATATATATATAAATATAGTAGTAAAGTATATATATGGTAGTAAAACTGATTCTTGCTTCTAATATGAGCATACACACACACACACACACACATATATATATATATATATATATATATATATGAAATGTATGTATCTATATATACAGTTAGGGTTAGGTATGTACCGGTGAAGATTGTGATTGGGTGATAGAACGGCATGAAAATGAATAGAGCTCCATACAGCTTCTTAGTAAGCATGTAACCCAGGACTGTGTGGGCAATTTTGGGTTTCTTTATTGAGAACTAAACTATTCAAAGGGACCAAGGATGTTTGTCTATTGCTTTGCATCAGTAAAAAATATCTTAACATTACATTACATTGGTGGACCGAATAGTTAAGTGATACAAGAGCTGACATGGAAAGAAATGAAGGAAATATATAGTTCACAGCTTTTTGTAAAAACTTAAGAAATGAGAGCAAACTTGAGTTTATTATTATCTTAGCTTTTGGAAAGCTGTTTTAAATCACAGCGCTGGATATTCTATGCTCTGATCTGCTGGAATGCAGAGCTATATTTGATATTATGAACACCCCTCCAGTATCAATAAAAAACAGTAACAAAATACATATCAAAGATTTACCCAGATTTAACGGGGGTCGAAAAGGGGCTAAAATGTTCTGTGTCATCTATTCCTCCCTTTTACCTTTCTAAACTAGACGAGAGGGATTGTCACACCATATGATGAGTAAGCTGTGATCTTTGACTTTTACACAAGCTGTTCTTTCTCTTTCTCTGTCTCTGTCCAGCCTCATAAGTCAAGACAGACCTGCAACTGTATAGAGGTAACTTAAAACGGATGGGGCGATTTATGAAGCCCTTAAATCACTAATCATAAACCTGTTATTTGGTGGATAAAATTCTGTCTGTTCCTCTACTCTTCTGGGTAAAAGGGGAAAACTGATCTGTGAGAACTACAGACGTCTTTGTGCCCTTTAAGTCACAGGGATCCTTAACCAAAGAAGATAAACAAAGAGCCAGATGAGATCAATAAACAGGGTTTATATCAATCGCGGATCAAATAGACAGTAGTAATGCAAGATGCCCCTATAAAAAGGGAGCCTTCATGAATATTTTTTTCTTGTTTAATGTAAACTGAGACTCATCATAAGGATAGCCTCTTCAACTTCTTTCAATTTGCTAAATCCATGACACTAGAAAGAGCCAAGTGATGATCCACTACCCTTCCTTTCATCGGCCTTTCTGCCTAAAGTAAGAGGTTTTGCTGGCAGATACCATGACCCCGGTGGTATCCTGCACTCCATTCTT